CCCCATCTGCCTTCTCCTGAAGCTCTCTCCCTTCTCCCTGCAGCTCTTGGCGGCACCAGCCTTTCCTCATGTCCATCTTCTGTCCCTTCCAGGCTGGGCATCTCTTTCGCCTACTACGGTGTCATCCTGGCCAGTGCCGAGCTGCTGGAGCGGGACCTGGTCTGTGGCTCGGATTCGGAGTCCAAGGTGGGGGTGAGCGGGGGGGTCTCCGAGGAGAGCCAGAGCCCCTGCTACTGCCACATGTTTGCCCCCTCCGACTACAGGACCATGATCATCAGCACTGTTGGTGAAATTGCCTGTAAGTGTGTCTCCTTTCTCTGTTTCGGGTGGGGGACAGTCAGCTCAGAGCCCCAGAGGACAGAGCGTGACCCTTCACAGACTTGGCTCCTGCCGGGCAGACCTGAGCAGCTCCCCGAGTCCTGCTGGCGGCGGCCTTGTGGATTGGGGTGGGGAGGGGAAGTCTGGAGGGGCCCAGCTTTGAATGATTAAACCTTATGGATTCTAAGATGCATTTTCCCTTCCCACTTCAACATCTCTGAAATTGGGATGTGTCTTACAGTGGCGTGTTAGATTTTAAGTTGCAGTTCTGTTCCTGTTTTAGTAGACATAAAATAATGGTGCTTAAAATTCGACGGCACCTTGAATTTGATGAAAAACAGTATGAAATATTTGAAATATCGGTCTAGCAGTAGGAAATCTACGTGACAGGTATGCTGGGCATGAAATGTCCTTTATATACCCCAGTGCTTGTCATTCTTGGACCCACGTCGGGAAAGTACATCAAAGGTTGATGACCGTGTGACTGGGTCTCGGTCGGAAGACGCACGAGGTTTGTCATTTCTTTCTGAAATGACAAGGAGGACTCTATGTCACTTGCTTCCAAGGGTCTAGAAATTGTCTTTGTCATTTGCTTTCCAGTGAATCCTCTAAATATCTTGGGCATTAATTTCCTGGGCAGACGGCTGAGCCTGTCTATCACCATGGGCTGCACGGCGTTATTCTTCCTGCTCCTCAATATTTGCACCTCAAGGTATTTTCTCTCTGGTTGTTTCACAGTAATTGAATTTTGTGCGGTGGTTTTAGGATGGGGTCTTCTAACCCCCGGTGTTCATCGGGGTTCAGGGTCAAGTCCCTTTCACCAGGAGAGTAGAGAATGGGCTGCTTGTCGTCTAGGATGATCTTGCCTGGCATCTACCCTGGCACTTCCCTCTTCCCACAGCCCCGGCCCCTCTTCAGCTATCACAGGATATGGGTATCAGTGTGGGGTACTCACTTCACCTAACAAAATATTTAGGATCTTCATGCAAAGCTTCCTGGAGAAATGGGACTCTAGTTGGTAACCAAATTGTCCTGACCATAGTGAAGACAGTTTAGTGATATGTAATATTATATATCATACAATATACTTGTGTTGTGAACATTCATTTCACTCTTAGTTTTCGACCCTAGAGTGGCCTTGGTTATAATATAAATCACTCATCCTGCAAACGGTCTGCACCCTTTTTCGGCAGTGGGGCCAGGCTGGAATGGCACCCGGGGGAGTGGAGAGGGCAGGCGTAGGACTGAAGGTCTGATGAGGCCTTTGCTTCAGGACCGCACAGCGAGGCAGCTGAGAAGCGGCTGGCTGGCTGCGGGTGGGGGCCACGGGAGGCCTCCGCGCGCCCTTGGTCAACTCTCGCTTCCTGTCCCCCAGTGCCGGCCTCATTGGCTTTCTCTTCGTGCTGAGGGCTTTGGTGGCAGCCAACTTCAACACCATCTACATTTACACTGCTGAGGTTAGTGTGGGGAAGGGGTTGGTCCATCAGGGGGTGTAAGACTTGCTACTTAGAGAGGGTGTCCGTCCATAGATAACACATCCCTGGCTTCTGTTGACTTCTGATGATTTTCTAAAAACATGCCATTAAAATAATGCCAGAAGGTTTATGTGGTCGGGAGTTTCCCCTGCCCCTCTGAGTCTAGTGAAAGCCACTGTCTGAGAAGATAGGACCTTCTCCTTTTCTTTCTAAGCAGCGTTCATATAAAAAATATAAAAACCAATTCATCGTCATAGCACTGTGCTTCCAGAAGAAACAGGGCCCATTACTGTTAACATGTGAAAGTCCCGATTTCTCTCTTTTGAAATTAGAATGTATTTTTCACCTTTATTCCTTTGAAAGATCACACCCCCTTCATCGTTATTTGCTGCACGTAGCTTACATTGAAATGGAATAGTTTATTCTTTCCTAATTTATTGAATTGATACATCTACTACGTGCAAGGCATGGCCCCAGGGAGCTAGAGGCTCTTCTCATTAACCTTCACTCTAAAGAACTAATATCCTGAGAAATGAACAGTTTCTGTAGAGGAAGCTTAGTATTTAAATGCTCCTGTCATTCATTGAGCTGGAGAAATAAATGCTATGGGGACCGATAGAGTTGCCTTTGTTTCCATTTCTGGAAATGGAGAAGGCTCCTCAGGTTACAGATGTGACATGTCAAAACATTAAACCACAGAGAAATAGTCTCCCCGCCCAGGTAAAAATAGGAAATTGACATATTTGACATATACGTAACACTTCTTTTAATTCCATTAACAACAGTTTCTAAAATTATTTTGTGAATTTATGGGCCTAGGAATCGGTGTGTAATATGCTATACTTCTAAAGCTATATTCNTTAACAGCAGTTTCTAAAATTATTTTGTGAATTTATGGGCCTAGGAATCGGTGTGTAATATGCTATACTTCTAAAGCTATATTCAAAATACTCAATTTAACACTTTGGAATTTCTTCATTTAAAGGTTATAAGTATTTTTTTCTGATACATATTTTAAAAAGCACCTATTCCATCTCCCTAAATTGTCAAAATATGAACAAAGACTTTGTTAATTTTATATAGAGAAAAGACCACCACCATGGAGCTGAATCCACTGCTCTCGGGTGCGGTCACAGCCTCATTTACTAGAGAGAGCAAGCTACCGGCGGAGGGCCCCCCCCCCCTTCTATAAACCAGCAGTGGCCCAGTGGCCGCCCGGCAGGACAGCAGGTCGCTTTTGCACTTGACAGACCGTGGCTATCAAAATGTGGCCTAGGAAAGGGGCTGTGTGCTTTGTTTTAGTAAAATGACAAAAGCTGGTTTTTTGGTGGTGTATGTATTGAGAGAAAATTCTCTAGAGTTTCAAAAAACCACTTTCATATATNGAAAATTCTCCAGAGTTTCAAAAAACCACTTTCATATATTACCCCTCTAATCTCATTTGTTAAATAACATTTGCTTACTTACGCCAGTTGCTGTAAGAATTCTGAATTAATGGAGCACAGACTGAGTGTTTACTATAAATGTTAGAAAGTTGCAGCAAGCAGGGAACAGGGTGAGGGGTGCAGCCTGTATCTGGCGCTATTTAAGGTTNCAATGGAGCACAGATTGTTTACTATAAATGTTAGAAAGTTGCAGCAAGCAGGGAACAGGGTGAGGGGTGCAGCCTGTATCTGGCGCTATTTAAGGTTTCTTTGAAGCATTATTCGGGGAATATTTTCTTTCTCTAGAACCACCTTTATGCATTTATAGCTCTACAGTGGAAATCTGATTCCAGAGGTTGCTTTTCTAAAATTAAATGTTGAATATTCAGTTAAGCACATAGTTTGGAATTTGCTCACTTAAAGGATAATTTCTAAGTGTTTGTTCTTTTTTTATTTTTTGTGTTTAAATTTATCTTTATTGTTGAAAGTATTAAAGATGTCCCCCCCCTTTTTTTTTTTTACCCCCATTGACCCGCCACCCTACTCCCATACCCTCCCTAGGCTCTAAGTGTTTGTTCTCTTTTTATTTTTTGTTTTTATTTTTGTTTTTAAATTTATCTTTATTGTTGGAAGTATTAAAGANCAGTGGAAATCTGATTCCAGAGGTTGCTTTTCTAAAATTAAATGTTGAATATTCAGTTAAGCACATAGTTTGGAATTTGCTCACTTAAAGGATAATTTCTAAGTGTTTGTTCTTTTTTTATTTTTTGTGTTTAAATTTATCTTTATTGTTGAAAGTATTAAAGATGTCCCCCCCCTTTTTTTTTTTTACCCCCATTGACCCGCCACCCTACTCCCATCCCCTCCCCAGGCTCTAAGTGTTTGTTCTTTTTGTGATAGTTATGGTTTAAAAATTCAAAGTTGTGTACCTGAGAAAATGAATGTCTTCTATTCTATATCCTTATAGAATATTTGGTATTTAATATACAGGAGTGGGCAAAAGTAGATTCATAGTTGTGAATATGTGAAAGTTTATTCTTGTATGATTATTATTAATTTGTATTATTTGTATTATTATATTCCTGTCCTTACCTATGATGTATGTTTTAGGTAACAATGGGTGCTAATTTCCCCGCTTTTGCCCTCCCCTGCATATACCAAAGCCTGATCTGGGGAGGGAAAGGCAGATGAGAAGGAAGGGCCTGACCTGATGCTCTGTGCCCCGCCCTCCAGGTCTACCCCACCACGATGCGCGCTTTGGGGATGGGGACCAGCGGCTCCCTGTGTCGCATTGGAGCAATGGTGGCACCATTTATATCTCAGGTACACCCAGAAGTCTGCAGGGAGGGTGGGCCTAAGGGAGGTGGGTGAAGAGAGACCCCGGGTCCCTTCAGGTTAAGGGTATAACCAGGATTTCTGTTTTAAATGAGTTTTCTTGTGCCATTTTTCCCTTGTTTGGGGAATTTGGATAGGGGAGGAAGCTAAATTACTGCACCAGGATTCCAGTCGGTCCACAGCAGGTACTGCATTGTGAGCAGGGTTTGGATTTTGTTGGGTTTTGATCGGGGGAGGGTAAGGAAGAAATGGGTGACATAGGAGCTTGGCTAGTTAATTGTTCATACTTGAGCTAAATCAGTCATGGCCAAGAAGGTTTTGTACAAATGTGGCCGAAGGGGGTTTGCGATGATGTGATTTTAGAACAGGAAAGATGTATTTGGTCTTGGTCCTGGTTTCTCCTAAAACCCGTGTGATTTCCTACATGATGAGGGCCACAAGGATGTCTCCTTATGTTGATGAGGTGACTTTTGGATTGTACCTAAAGATGTGGACTGGTTGCTGGGGAAACAACCATGTGATTAGAGGGTTGGGAATTTCAGTCCCACCACCTCAACCTCTGGGGAAGGGAGAGGAACTGGAGGTTGAATTAGTCACCAATGGCCATGTGTAATGAAGTCTCTATAAAAACCCACAAGGGAGGGTTTGGAGAGCATTCAGGTTGGGGAACCAGAATGCTTTATGTGCCACTGTGCTGGGCCCCAAACTCCAAAAGGACAAGGGTTCCTTTGTGGGAGACCTCGCCCTATGTATTTTCTTCATCTGGCTTTTGATTGATGTTCTCTAATATCCTTTGTTATAAACCAACAGCCTAGTGAGTAAACAGGTTTCTGAGTCATGGGAGCTGCCCTAGCACATTAACCAAACCCAAAGGTGGGGTTGTGGGAACCTCTGATTTACAGCCAGGTGGTAGGAGCACAGATGACAACCAGGACTGTGACTGGCACCTGAAGTGGGGCGCAGTCTTGCGGGACTGAGCCCACTTCCAGGGAGATGGTGTCAGAACTGAGTTGGCTTAGTGGTGTGGGGGAAACCCCCTTGCCACATGTGGTAATTGGGTGCAGAACCCCAAATAGGGGTGCAGTTCTCAGACAAAGGGTGTGTCAAGGGCTGAGCAGACTCTAACACGTACAGTATTTCCTGTAACTCAGCATGAACTTTCTACCGTCTTGCAAGGGTTTTGCCCATTTGTCTTTAGGAAAAATGGGGCCAGCTTTTGTCTTGTGACTTTGCTTTCAGAGTTCTTTCTTACTTTTTCACCATTTCCCAAAAAAAGGATGTGATGGTGAAAGACAGCAGAAGACTATAATCCTGTTTCTGGGTGATCAGATCAGGGGATGGTTCATTTTCCAAGGTTCAATCAGGGATTGAGTCTCTCGGTTCTCAACCACTGGCAACACTTTCTCTGGGTGTTTGTGGGTATTTATCCCGAGGCCACAAGGCATTTGGTGGGTTTACGGATCAGAAATGATCCCCAACTGGGACCAGGTCTCCCGCGGCCATAAAGCTCTGCTCTTCTTACCTTCTTTACAGGTAGGTCACTCATTTATCTATGCCACCCTAATTTTACAAATGAAGATAAATAATAGCACCCACTGCATAGGTTTGTTCTGAGCATTAAATAAGAGTAACACATGTAAAGCACGTAGCCCAACATCTGAAACACAGTAAGCACTCAATAAATGTTAGCTAATAACAACAACCAATAACAGTCGAGGCAAAAGGCTAAATATTCAAATAAAAGTATTTTTGTTATTGCTAAAAATTTAAGTTTATATATGTATACATATATATATAAATAGGTTCTATCAATCACTATGCGATTGGGGTGCTTTGCTTTCCTTACAGGTTAGGAATGGGAGGTTTAGAATCTGGGAAGTTTTGTTTGTTGCTAGGATATCTGTCTGGGTTTGGGGTGGGGTGAGCTGCCCTGGACAGCAGGGCTTGGTGTCACTCCTGAGCTAGTCGGTCATCCTTCCCATGGACACGGTGCTCAAGCTTCAGGGCGTGTCAGAATTACCAGGGTAACTTGGTAACATGGAGATTCATGACTACCCAAAGACTGATTCTGTATATGGGACCATCACCTGTATTTTTAACAAGTGCCCTGAGTGAATCTGAGGCAGTTGGTCTGTGGCCCACCCTCTGAGGGTCACCACCACCTACAGGGAAGGTACCAGCTGGGAGATTAGCTTCTAATTTCACTTGGCTCTCTTCCTGCCCTAAAACAGGCTGTTAAACCAATTACAGTATTTGCTTATTAATTAGTAAAATGTTTACACACTTAATGACTCTATACATTTAATTTAAAAATCTCTTTAAAATGAATGTTTCAAGATGTTTGGCAGTTAGAAGCTTTAATGATATAGAAATAAATAGGAGTTTTAAAGGTTCAGCAAGTACAGATGGGACCAGTACCGGGTCCTTCCCCGCGATCAGGGACTGCCTTCCGGTGCCTTAGCCGGGCCTGCCTGGGTTCTGCGACGTCGGGCCTGCAGGTGCTACTATAGACGGGTAAGGTCCTCCTGCATGTACGTGGCTTTGGACTTCACCCCAGGTTTGCAATATAGGCCCATCTAGCCATGGCGATGTAGCTGTGGGGACTGCGGGGTCTGGGTAACACAACTAAGACTGTTTTCCTGTGGCCAGGCTTGCATGGTGTCACATCGAAACACAGTCCAGCATCCAATAAAAGCATTGAAAACAGTTTAAATCTTTTACAGTAAGCCTCTTAGAGAGGTGTCAATGGGGAAGTCAATTCGTAACTCCCAGCAAAACCTTTAAAAATCCACTTTGCTGCCCTGGCTGGTGTGGCTCGGTTGGGTGTCATCCCAGATACCAAAAGGTCGCCGGTTCAGTTCCTGGGCATGCAGGAGGCAGCCCGTCGATGTCTTGCTCTTACATTGATGTTCCTCCTTCCTCTCTCTAAAAATCAATTAAATCTTAAAAACTTCTTTGCCTGCCTCACTTGCGTTGTCCCCAATGGCATAGCAGTTGTCCCTGATAGTCTCGTCCCCTCAATCTCATCACCCCTCAAAGTTCAAACTACGAAACACAGCCCGAACTAGCTCTTCTCTGGCCCCGTCTACAGCCTCCAGAGCTCTTGGCTGTCTCTCCAGCAGCTCTCTGCCCCTCCTAACTGAAATCCTATAGCCTCTCAGGGTTCAAAAGAAGCTGGATACACAAACAGACTCTTTCTTAGGAGGCAGGAGAATTCCTTCATTTAAGAACCTATTTTCGTGACTCATTCGACAAGTTGTTTTTGGAGTAATCCTCTACAAATTCTAGATACCCTCTTGTATAGTTTGGCAGTGAGACCACCACAAAGGACTCAATTAGCTACAATCTATAATTGATAAAATAGAATTGAATTATTTTATCTCATTTCACCATTCAAGTAGCCTTTATTGCACGCTTACCCTGTGCCTGGCATTATTCCAGTTCTATTTATTTGTTAATGTCACGTTATAAGCTGGTTGAGGTCACATTGTAGCTTGCAATTAACAGTGTGGTAGTTTTTATACCATGGGCATTGGCAAGTGCTACTGTCAGGGCTTTCTGTTTTGGGAAAGCATGTTGTCAGACCCTGGGCACCATACCTGCACGAGACTCCTGCCCTCAAGAGACTCACATTCAGGTTGGGTACTTTACAAATATGCACATGGCTAAGATAATTTCAGGTTGTGGACAGTGCCTTGGAGGTAATATATTAAGAGGGGTGACAGGTCTTTTAGGCTGGGCTCTCTGGAGTTGAGACTGAAATATGGGGAGTTGACAGTTTATAAAGGGAAATAGCATTTCAAGTAGGATGGCAGCTGGTACAAGGACCTGGCGATGGGACAGGTATTGGCTTATTGCAGGAACAGGAAACAGCTGTAGTGAGCAAGCGGACAGATGTGCGGGGAGAATGTCCCTGCAGACAGACCTATTGAGGACTTTGGATTTTTTCCTTAGGGGTAGTAGGAAATTTAAGGGTTTTAAGCAGGTGAATGAGGCAGTCAGTTTTGCATTTAAAAAAAACACTCTGGTTGCTTATATAGTGACTTGGGGGGGG